TTTGGTTGAACATTTTGTACAGGTCACAGTGGGATACCTGTATCCTGTCTGCTGGCTAATGGAAATCCCACTAGGCTGGGGACCAGTTCACGATGCAGAATTAAAGCGGAGAAAGACAAAAGTTGACAGCTCCTCACGCTGTGGAGAATGTGTGGGCAGATTCACAACTGACGCTGTCAGAAGCTTTAAGAGTGCTGAGGAAGTGCTCCATGAAAGACCTAAACCAGACATGAAGGAATATTATAGAGACACTGAAAAGAACTCACAGTTGTATAAGTAGTGAAGTATTTACTCAATTAGGACATGTATTTATATAAAATAAACTTCCGATAACTTTTTTATTATTAAAAAGATAAACCTTGCAATAGAGAACTGTTACATATGTACTGTGTGCTCTAAATTGGTGGTTGCCAACAACAAAAATGTTTGATCAAATAATTAGTTCTTAATGGACAAGAGGTTTAGCAAAATAAAACAACCTATGTTTGAAAATAGAACCTTGATATTAACACTATTTTTTATATTTATATTTTATACTTATGTTTTAAGCATTTCTTTTAGTAGAGGCAGATTTATAATAATAACCAAAAATAATATGTAGTTTTTAAATTTTTTTAAATTTTGTGTTTTAACAATACGTACATTTTAACCATAACATTGGATGACATCAAGTACAGTAATAAACAAGAAAAATTATATATAAATAAATAAATAAAAATAATACTAAAATAAGATATAAAAACAGGATACAAGGGCAAAAATATAAAATTAAATAATATTTACAAAGTCCTTTAAAAATTCAGTTTTTACACTTTTTTGCTGTAAACATTTTGTAAAGTAGTAATTTAAAAAAATTGAACTCAAAGAAAATTCTGCAAATTAGGTAATGATGAAGAAAATTTACATTTGTGAATATAATATTTACCCAATAAAATAAATTAATTGCCTATAAATTATATGTGGTTTGACATGAGAAAAGTAAATTATATCACACATGGAAAAATCAATGTCAAGCTTATGTAAAAAAGACTTTAACGTAGGCATTTGACAAAAAGATGATCAATCGATTCGCTACTTGAGTTACAGAAGACGCAATCTGAATTAGGATTACTGAATTTAGATACAATCACGTTTGTGGGATAGATATTGTCTAACGCTATTTTTTATATTTATATTTTATAGTAGGGATGTAACAATATTGTAAATACCGTCATACTGCAATAGTAATTTTTTTCAATATTACCGTAGGCGCATGACTCAATAAAACTATATTTCTGAGAAAAGTTTGCTCAGGCGAATGAAGCGAACGGGAGGTAGCGGAAACTACAATTCCCATCAGCCTAGGCGTGGCCATCATCCTTTGCAGTCTGTTGTTACTACAGATCCAGTAATGCGGAAATGGAGTGTGTTGCTAGTAGCGGGGAAGAAAAAGAGCTGGAAATGATCGAACCTAAAGCAGGTTTTAAATCGGATGTGTGGAAGCATTTCGATTTCTTTCTAAAAAGATACGAAAAAGGAGAAAAGGTGACAGACAAAGAACAAAACTATATGCAGGCACTGCCAGACTGTGGTGAAATATAAGTCTTGTTAGATTGATGCAGACATTGACTTGTACCGCAAAGAGACCTCTATCTCACTCATAGCTTGTCCTCTCAAGTGGTGGAAAGACAATGCACAGCGTTACCCACTGCTGTCAACCTTGGCTAAATCATATCTCTCTGTCCCAGAAACCTCAGTCCCAAATGAGAGGGGTTTTTTTTCTGTTGCAGGGGACATACCCAGAAATCCCAGCTTTTACCAGATTATATTTATATGATAATTCTGCTTAAAAAAACTCTCTATCTAAGTGAGTGAGTGATTAAATGTTGAATGTGATGAGTTTTCAACAATACTAAATTGAAACTTTATATTTTTTTTACATGGTTTTATAGTTTTTTGTTATTAAAATTGAAAAATTGAAGTTCCTGTTTCAAAACTTACAGATAGATGGCTAATTTGCATGTCATTGATATGTTCAGTGCTAAGGTAAATAAGTACTTTTGGCACTTTTTTCGAGTCTTTTCATTAGTTTTGTTTTCCTGTAAATTACTCAATAAATACCGTACCGTGCCATTCATACCGAGGTATTACCGTACTGTGAAATTCTGATACCGTTACATCCCTATTTTATAGTGATCCTATTGTTGTTGCATTATTCGAGTTTATGTCAGTCCTCCTTGGTCATCCGTCAGAAACCCTAATCACCATAATAAAGTAATGAATCACTTGGCAGACAAATAGATCAAATATTTGTACCTATATCTGTATAGCACAATATTGAGAAAATATGTCTAGATTGCAGATGAGGTTAAATACCCTCATTGAAAAAATACTATATAATACTGTTTTTGAAGCACACTCTAACTTGAATTAATCGGTTATGGTAATTGACTGTGATAATACAAGAACTCTTGTAATATAAATCAATAAATAGGATATATTAAAATACAATACACCACATAGTAAAAAACTAAATGATATTACTCTCTGACTTAAATTCCTTGGTTGTGGTACTGTGCTCTATGCACTGCTGGAGTTTTAAAGCCAATGATAAACTTTCGGAAAAAGCTTAATGCGACTATTTTCAATTTCACTAGGTTGTTTTTACAGCATTGATGTTGTAATGTAATTCAATACAATACATTCAGTTAAATAGACTTAAGCATTCATTTAGTTGTTCAAGTGCAAAACGAGATGAAACATGGTTGTAACCACTACCGCCGTCAGTAGCAACAGGCTAGTGCAGAAATTCCATTGAAATGACTGGGGTAAAATAAACTGTGGGCGAGGCAGTGGTGCAGTAGGTAGTGCTGTTGCCTCACAGCAAGAAGGTGACTTGGTCGCTGGTTTGAGCCTAGGATCAGTTGGCGTTTCTGTGTGGAGTTTGCATGTTCTCCCGGCGTGCATGTGGGTTTCCTCCAGGTGCTCCGGTTTCACTTACAGTCCAAAGACATGCGGTAAAGGTGAATTGGGTAGGCTAAATTGTCTGTAGTGTAAGAGTGTGGATGAGTGTGTGTGTGGATGTTTCCCAGAGATGGGTTGCGGCTGGAAGGGCATCCGCTGCATAAAAACTTGCTGGATAAGTTGGCGGTTCATTCCACTGTGGCGACCCTGGATTAATAAATGGACTAAGCCAACAAGAAAATGAATGAATGAATGAATGAATGAATGAATGAATGAATGAATGAAATAAACTGTCGTATTTTAAAGATATGGCATGGGGAAATGGAATTTAATGCAGTGCTTCTTGTCTGGTCTGAGACCCACTTTATATTGTATATCTGACAAGCAGTGAAAATCGCTGATTTTTAAAGAAATCAGACAATTTTGTAATAGAAAGACAGTTCACCAGAAGCCTGCTTTAAAATCAAAAGTCTGTGTGCATATAACCTATTATAGTCACTGTGGTAACACAGCAATTATACTAATATAAACAAATAAACAAACTAATACATAAATAAATAAATAAATAAATAAATAAATAAATAAATAAATAAATAAATAAAAAAATAGGGAATATTAAACTACAATACACTAAAAACTAAAGGGTATTACTATACTTATTATTATTAGTTCACTATAGTTAATACAGAATGCTGTAGCATTCATTAGCCAAGTACTGTACATACTCTAATATACAGTAATAATTTACTGCAGTAGCCTATAGTTCAAAAAAACTATAGTATTTTACATGTAACGGTTGTTTCAAACAAGGTAGCAAATACATTAAAAAACATGAGATACTAATTTCAATAGTCTATTTATGTAATGTAGTATTTCACTGATTTAATTGAAAAGTATATTTTTCATTTATCATCTCTTTAGAATGGTAAATAATTTTTTATTTGCAAAAAACAGTAACAATATTTGTATACAATACAGAATATGAATTACGAATTTAGAAAGAAAGAAAGACAGAAAGAAAGAAAGAAAGAAAGAAAGAAAGAAAGAAAGAAAGAAAGAAAGAAAGAAAGAAAGAAAGAAAGAAAGAAAGAAAGAAAGAAAGAAAGAAAGAAAAAGAAAATGATATAAACTTGAGGGTACAGTAAGCCGTTTAAGAGTCATTCATTCATTCATTCATTCATTCATTTTCTTTTTCAGCTTAGTTTCTTTATTAATCAGGGGTCACCACAGCAGAAGTAATCCCCCACTTATCCAGCATATGTTTTTATGCAGCGAATGCCATAGATAGATATTGTGTAACACTTTATGTAATTCTTTAACTTTGCTGGGAACACAAAATTTGTAAAGTAAGAGCTAAGCCTTTTTCCAATCAATTTTATCTATTACAGAATTCCAAAGAAATTTCCCCCTCAGAAGGATTCTTTTCTTTGACTGAAATTTCTTATATTTTTATTACTACAATTTAGGTCGTAAATGCCTTTGTCCTCAACTAGGTTCTTTTTCAACAATCGCTTTAAATGACAAGTGGCATCTCATTAAATGAGCAAGGTCACTTGGTATGGCCTTAATCATAGTATGAATTTCTTCACGAATAACAGGTAAATTATATTTAACCATAAAATCACCATATAAGTAGAAGTTTCCTTGTGGATCAAGTAAGTCACAAAGAGAATACTTTTTTTATGCCAATTCTTATCAAATTGATTGATTCTTTACTAAGAACTTTCGTTGTTCCATAGCTTCACTTTGTTCTATGTGATAATAACAGCGTGTGTTTTTTGTTTAGTGACGTTCGTCACATCCAATCGTACGGTCGTATAGCATGGGTTGTCTATTATGATTGGGCAAGGCGACAATGAAGGCGGTGCTTCACAAACACGGAAGCTCAAACCGCGATGTTTTGAAACTCCCCAACATTCGACAGCTTTCAAATCAACAAGTATTACGTTTAACAAACCCCTGTATAAAGCAAGTATAATTATTGCTTGACATTATAAAACAGTTTTACATACACAGCAGAGGTCGAGTGTAATTGATACGAGAAGTGAGATGAACTAACCAGCGTATTTACTAACAAGTCTGTTTTTCCGTGTTGTCTAGGAAACGGAAACGCGCAAGCTAAAGACGCAGGATGTGACTCGAGCTAACAATTTCAACTTCAGAAGTTAACTGCTGGCGAGCATGCAGCGGTCTGCTAGAGATAAAGACGGCCCGTCGTTGGACATTTATTCTGACGACGAGGAGACGATTGTGTTAGCAGAAAGAAGAACTGCGATGGAGGACACTAATGCAGGTTCAAACGTGAGAAGCGAGAACCGCGGGGCAACGCCTGGGCGGCCACCTGTCCGGCAGAGGTACTGGAGGAACACACACCTGTGGCCCGCTCGTATCGGCTCTGTGCTGTGCAGCATAATCTTCGTATCGTTTATCGCAGTGTTGATCGCATTTCTTTACATCATTTTAAAAGGTAAACACAACTATATCTGTTTAATGCTATGATTCTCTTAAAGGGGCAGTTACCCAAAAATGAAAGTTCTGTAAACATTTAGTTTACCTTCACATGTTTTTTTTTCTTCTGTTGAACAATAAAGGACGATATACCAAATAATGTTGGGTGAAAAACACCTGTATTGACTTCTATATTATTTTTGTTCCTAGTGTGGATGTCAGTGGCTGTTTTTTTTCCAACTTTCTTCAGAATATCTTGTTTTCTGATCAACAAAAGAATTTTTTTTTATTAAAGTTAATGGTGAGGACTTTTTGGGGGTATACTGCTCCTTTAAATTTCCAGCCAGTGCAATGTTATATTTGTTACTGTATGCACAATTTGATTAATAATTCTCTTGATTATAGATTTAAAAACAGAGAAGATAACCACTGAAGATGGATCAGAAGTGCGACTCCTAGGTTGGTCCAGCATAAACCTAAAAGTTTGCTATATACGATATTAAATGGATGTTTTTAAACATGGCTTATTTTTTTTACAGGTTTTTGGAGTATTTTGGTCCTGTCTTCTATGGCTGGAGTTTTGTGTTGCAGTTTCTCCTGGACTCTAACTTACTTTGACTCCTTTGAGCCAGGAATGTTTCCTCCAACTCCTCTTTCTTCATCCAGATACAAGTGAGCATGTTTTATTATTTTTTTTCTTTAATCCTTACTCTAAAATTAAATCACCAAACCATACTATCTAAATCATGTTTGACTATAGTCATGACTATAGTCTTCTGCGAATTAGAACCCAGCCTTTTAATTATTATTATTTAATTATATATTTTTAAACCAAGTTTACATATTTTATCATTTGATCAGTTAGCAGGCTTACATTCATTACGTATGCATAAATTAAATAAAAATGAAATTAACAGCATTATTAAACATATGTCATCAAAATAAGGTCATAGTCCACTGCCAAACATCTTGGCTGATGTGCACCTGATGCTAAACAAAGATAGCCATTTCCAAGCAGAACCTGGTTTGCATGATTGTTTCTGAGCAAGGTCTATATAATAATAATAATAATAATAATATAAAAGGACTAAGCCGAAAAAGAAATTGAATTAATAAAAATTAAGAATTATAATTATATGCCTATGGTTCTTCTGATATGTATGTAGGACTATTATTTCGAGGGTGGTGTCACAAGCTCAAATTTGGTTAGCCAATCAGAGCAAAAAGGGCGTTTCTGCACCGCCTATATGTGTAAAAACGAAAATCAATCAAAAAATGTTCTCGTTTTTTTTTTTTGTTTTTTTTTTGTGAGCAACACAACATATAATTTAAGGCTATTTATCACTTTTTAAGATTTAAAGGTGTAAGTTGTCACTTTTACTTTTTAATCTGGCATTTTAAACTAATATAAATGGCCTAAGTGCTAAAAGAATATCTCACTTTAGTATCATGATTATACTAAGTGCCAAAATAAGTGTTATCTGAAGTTGGAAAAGCCACACTGGAAAAAAAGTGAAGTGAGGTAGGAAGGAATTAAGACTGAATTAAGACTTCTGATGGCTGCAGTAAATCCCGTTTATGAGATAACTTGATGGGGTTGATGTTTGATGGCACCATAAATGTGTTCCGTAGATGACACATGATGAGCCTGTAGTCATCATTAAATATTTTTCTTGGTTATCTCTATTGAATTTCTTCTGAATCATTAGATGTGACATTCTGGAGACTGAGAGGCTGTTCTAAAACCAAATAGGAGAAACCTTTGTGTGTTTCAAGATTTTTATAATTATTTTTTTTTTACTTTCTCAAAATTATTTTGAAAAAGGATTTTAATCTGAAATATTTTCTGTGACATTTGTGAGCCATTGATGAAAGATCCCAGGGGTAAAAAGCATTAAGAAGTGAATAGAGGAAGGTGGAGGGGTGGTGTGTGTTTCCACTTTAGCATCAAATCTGCACTCAATGCTGCTGGCAACGGTACAGTGCCACTGCTCTGGGGTGTGTCAATATTATGGCAGAGAACGCCTGTTTTGGGAAAACAGTGTTTACACATTTCTCGCACGTGCATTGTCACACGTGTAAGGAACGATCAATGCATAAAAACACAGGCATGCATTCAATATGTTTGTGTAAACTGAAAGTGTGGAGGAATAAATTCTCATAGTAGCCTAGATGTAAGTGATTTCACCTCAGTAATCCAGTTTCACAGACACTTGGAAGCATACATCAACATCTTGCTTTGCCTTCTTTCCACAGCTTTTGAAAACCAACAACTGTTAGGGAGCTAAGTATAGTTTTGAGTAGAATTCTCAATATTTTCTGAGTAAAATAAAGGCCTAGTGTATGTTTTGCTTGTTTAGTTTTTTGTCTTCTCTCTGTTGTGCACCCTGTCCTGCTCTAGGTTCGGGTTCATTGGCTGATAAGGGTGTCATTCTTCATTTATTTATTTTCTTTTTCGGCTCAGACTCTTTATTAATTCAGCGTCGCCACAGCAGTATAAACCGCCAACTTATCCAGCAAGTTTTTATAAGCGGATGCCCTTCCAGCTGCAACCCATCTCTGGAAAAAATCCATACACACTCATTCACACTTATACACTACGGACAATTTAGCCTACCCAAGTCACCTGTACTGCATGTCTTAGGGTTGTGGGGGAAACCGGAGCCGGATATTAAGTCTCTTTAACATTATTGAATGTTCATGCTGAATTACTAACATTTGTTGGCCAATATTTGTTACTAATATTTGAGTCACAGTTTTAAAGTTCAATTACAAACGGTTTATTTCATTTTCAAGATCTGCGGTAAACTGTTCTGCTGCCTTCAGTAGAATGGCAATAAACGTCTAGTAAAATGACATCTATACTCGCATTATTAGTATTTAACACTGAATAAAGCACATGAGATGTACCTGAGGTGATCATTGTCAGTTTTCTGTTGTTCAGCTGCAGGTAATAGAAGCCGTTAAATATAAATTTCAGGAGTTGGTTGGAACAAAAACTCCTTTTAATATGGAAAATATTCCTTCTATTGTGTGCTGTTGCTTTAATTAGAACACAACTTAAATCAGCCTTAAATCAGCCTTTAGGCTGGATAGTCGAGCACACTCCTGTTGATGTCGTCAATCTGGCAACCTGCGCTTGCATGCGTTTTGAACCAGGAGTGCAATACCTGATTCAACCACTGAGTGTCAAACTGACATACTGCACCTTTAGAACATATTTGCATTATATCCAATCATTCTATATTATTTCTCCTATTTTTTTTTACACCTACATGCCTTCTCTTGGCACTAAGTTTGTAATTGTTCAAAAGCAACCCAAAAGATAAAAAAAAAAAAACATTTCTCAAATCCACACAGATGATTTTGGGAGATTCTCTTTAGAAATAGAGTAGAAGTTAACATTCAACAAGAGAAACTCCAATTCCACATGAAGATGTGATCATCTCGATGACTTCAGGCTAATGGGCTCTAGACTCACCCATTATCAGGAATGTGAATTAATTTACTGCTGCAGCACCTGTGACATTCATTTCACTGATCCTGTAAGAACCATTCTTTTTTTTTTTTCAGTGCCTGATAACTGGTTGTCTCTACAAGAGGCTGTTTTTCCCCTAGTCGCCGGTTCTGCTCAGGAGTGTAATACCCAGAGAAAGTAGAAGAGTTATAAGAACATGTTATCAAGGCTGTTACTCCGGCCTGAGGTTATTCACCCGTTTTTCCTATTTTGTTTTTTGCTGTCAGCTGCCTTAGAAGCTTGTCAGCTGGTAAAATAGAAAATTGTTCCCATCTCTTTGTGGTGGTTGGACTCACCCTTGCGAGAGCACAGACTCGAAGGAGAACAGAAAAGCAATTTTCCTGTAATTGCTTTTCATCTTCAGACCTGAATACTTGCACCAAGCGGAACATTCAAAAACTGTCCCAGAATTGGTCCGCAGGGATTTTGTGGGGCTCCAGGCCCATCAAATACGTCTAAATGTCCTTTATACCAAATGCTAATGCTTTTGGAAGAGAGAGGAAGCGGAATTTGCTTGAACTTTTTTATTATTATCGCTCTTTCCGAACTCACTGACTTTCTGAAATGAGAAATCCTTTATTTGATTTTTGAAGGGTTAGTTCGGACAAAAACGAAAGCTGTCACCATTTACTCAACGTCAAGTCATTATGAAAACCTGAGAGATATCTGACCTTTTGAAGGTCAGAAGCAAAACTGACACTTCACAAAGTTTATAGAGACAATATACAAGTTGAATAGTTCTTAAAGGGATAGCTCACCCAAAAATTTAAATTATCTTACAATTTTCTCTTTCTTGTTTGGTTTGACACTTTTATGGCTTATTTTATGGATATTTTGAAAATATCATAGTAGAAAAAAATACTATGAAAGTCAATAGGAACCATCAACCAGTATCTTTCAAAATATCTTCTTTCGTGTTCAATAGAAGAAACTCAAATTGGTTTTAAACAAGTGAAGTGTGAGTAAATGATGACAGTGATTTCAAATTTTGTGTGAACTATCCCTTTAAGAAACCTCATCATTTCATATAATGAACAGATTTGATTTAGGCCTTTATGCCCAAATAAATATTCTGCATGCGTACATAAAGCACATCTACTATGCTAAACAGTAATGTTTGTTTGACATAACTGAAATGCTTTGGCCTCCTCAAAAATCTGTGAGATTTGTTCTTTTGTGCGAAGCTTTCAAAGTGACTCTTGAGAAGAATATTAAATAATTGTCCTATTCCTTTACAAAACTTTTACTGACAAAAAAAAATCAGAGTGGATATACTCAATTTTTCCATTTTTGTTTTTTAGGATGAATGAAAAAAGGATAAAGAGTTTGGAATGGAATGACTCCAAATTATAATAGTAACTATCTGGTAATGGTAACTATGCCCCTGTTTGCTAAATATTTGTAAGCTGCTAACAGGAAGTGTTGAACCACAGAAAGAATGCCACCACCAACCACCAGCTTAGACATATATACAGTGTTCAGCATATACGAGTACACCCCCTTCTGAAAATGAAAATTTGTGTCCCTTACTCAGTGAATATAGCCAATAATATTCAGTGCTTTTAAACAAATCAGTTTTATTAAACAGTTATAGCAATTAAAATAAGAGTTTGGTCACTTAGCATCTTTAGGACTGAAAATTGAAAAAAAAAAAATAAAATCTTGTTCAATAAAGCCTAATCCCAATTCTATGTTTCCCTTCAAAATGTACCCCTAAGAATTGGGACAGCACCTGTACAGATCATCATATGTCATCGCGATTTCTTGCTTCATATGAAATCTACGATCACGACTGCTATAGTTGTTCCAGTTTTTAGTATTTATCCTCAGGAAATCACTGAAGGCATATATCATGCTATCATAACGATATAACGCAGGCAATAAGATCGGTACTGTACTGTGTATTTACACCGTGGCCAAATTCATCTATGTAAACACACCGAAAACAACATTAACATTATAGCAGACACTGTAAATAGGTCATTCCTAGCCACTAGTCTTTTCTGACTGGGTATTTTTCGAGTGACATAATGTTGTGGGACTGCTATACAGGAGTTATTATTAGGATTTATAGATAGCGAAAATTAGCGCTTTTTTTATTTTATTTATTTTTTATTTTAGCGTATTTTTTATTTATTTATTTTTTAAATATTTT